CCCAGTTGTGAACCTGCCAGCTTACACCTGGCTTACATTCCCAGATATGACTTCTCTTGCCAAAGTGCATGCACCAATGTACACTCCCGCTCCTTCTGGTGAGTTTTTCTAGATCTAAATGTATCTCACCCAAAAGTCTCTCCTTTCTTTTTTTTTCTAGGTGATTTTTTATTTCCATAGAGTACTCTGACAATTGAATACTTTATCTCAACATTGTTAGGTTTTTATAAAGCTATCTTTATTCAAATCATCATAGTGACCAATAAGAGTTTCCATTTGCTTTAAGTATCATGGAAGAATTGTAGATGTATGGGGATCAATAATATTAATAATACTGTGTACTAATGCTACAAATGCATAGTCTCTTCTTTCTTTAGAAATGAGCCACTCCTTTCAAGTGTTATTTGTTCAATATTAAAAATGTCCTTTTCTACAAGTCTAGTGGTCAAGATTTTGCGTTCCAGTGGAGGAGGTGCAGGTTTGATCTTTGGCCGGGGAGCTAAGATCCCACATGCCTCCTGGCCAAAAACCAGAAAACAGAAGCAATATTGTAACAAATTCTATAAAGATTTAAAAAATGGTCTGCATCCCTCCCCCCAGAAAAAAATCTTAAAAATAAGTCCTTACTGTTTAATGAGGAATAGGATGTTTACATAGCTTCAAAGTACCTGGTGCTCCTCAGGTGATGGCAGACGACAGCGGGGTCCCTCCCTGGCCATTGCGTTGGCCACACACACCTCCCCCACCAGCGTTGTCCCAAAGCCTGGGCTACAAAGGCCCTCCCTCTCCCTTTATTAGCTGATGAATCACAGATTTGATTCCACTTCTACGGATGTATCCAAAGCAGGGTCTGCACCAGGTTCTTGTTACCCAAGTCTACCGCAGCGGGATTCACCACAGCCAAAGCACCCGGAAACCCTCCCTGGCCACCTGGGTGGTCCAAAGTTGGGTGGTCCAAAGATTTTCCGTCTTGAAAGCCTCCTGGTATTGTAAGGACCCTGCGTTTTCACTTTGCACCGGGCCGTGGCTAGTGCCTGGGTCCAGGGGCACCGCCTGCCGTTAGGGCAAGGGCCCAGTCGCTCAGTTTCCCTGTTGGAACGGGGATGCGGAGAGAACATTCCCGGCAGGTGCGCGTTGGAGCCCGCAGGTGGCGGGCTGGCGGGCGCGGAAAGCCGGCGAGCGGCACCTGCCGGCGGAGGAAGGCATGGCAGCCAGGTGCGACGGCCGCGTCTGCGGGCCCCCTCCCCGCCCCCTCCTCCCAAATCCCACTCCTTTCCTCTGCCTCCATCCTGTCCTGCCTGGTCTAGAGCGGTCCCCTCCATCCAAGTTCCGGGTTCCGCCCTCATCCCCTGTCTCTCCTCCGCGCAATAGCCACCAGAGGGCGCGCCTGAGCGCTGAGTCAGGCCCCGCCCCTCCTCTGCCCACAGCCCTCCAGGGTCCCACCTCCCTCGATTCCTGGGTCAGGAAGTTCCCCTGGAAAAGGGATAGGCTTTTCCCCTGGAAAAGGAATACTCCAGTATTCCGGGGCTTCCCTGCTGGCTCAGACGGTAAAGAATCCACCTGCAATGTGGGAGACCTGGGTTCAATCCCGGGGTTGGGAAGATCCCCTGGAGAAGGATGCGGCATCCCACTCCAGTATTCTGGCCTGGAGAATCCCGTGGACAGGAGACTGGCGGGCTACAGTCCACGGGGTCGCAAAGAGTCGGACACACTGAGCAGCTAAGCCCAGCGCAGATCCCTTCACATCTTCCAGCAAACCTGCCATTCATATGCCACCTTCTCAGAGAGGCCTTTCCTCAAGAGCCTGTCTGAAATGGCCACTGTTGCTCCCCATGCGTCTTTTCGCGGCTGTTTGTTCACAGATTGAGTCGTGGTGATAAATGCTGTTCTCCTCCCTGTATACGCAGTGTCCAGGACAGTGCCTGGCACACACAGGTCTTCAGGGTATTTCCATTCCGCTGATGAGTGAGTAAATAAAACTGGAGGACCTTGTGGAGAAGTGGGAACCGGGTGAACGGCTGGTGGGAACATGAAAATAAGGTAGCTGCTGTGGAAACAGTCTAGTGGTTCCTCAAATGGTTGACTGTAGCATCACGGTGTGACCCAGCAGTTCCACTTCTCTTTACACCCAGTAAAATGGAAAGCTGTCTTGAAGAGGTGCCTGCACACCTCTGTTCCCAGAGGCATGATTCACGGCAGCCAGAAGGCAGAAGTATGCCTAGTGTCCACTGACAGACAGATGATGGATAAACACAGTGTGGTCCGTCCACAGCATTGGAATGATTCAGCCTTAAAAAGGAAGGAGGTTCTGACACCTGCTACATCATGAATGAACCTGGAGGACATGATGTTCAATGAGGGAAGCTATACACAGAAGGACAAAGTCTGATTCCACTCACAGATCCCTATAGATAGACTCCATAGAAAATGTGGTGGTGGGGGGCCTGGGGCTGGAGAAGAGGTGGGGAGTTACTGCTTAACAGGGACGGACTTTCTGTTTAAAGTGACCGTTAGTGCTGGTGGTTGCACAACATTGTGAATGAAACCAATGTCACTGAATTGTACATTTAAACATGGTGAAGAGGGGCTTCCCAGGTAGCTTGGTAGTGAAGAATCTGCCTGCCAATACAGGAGATGCAGTTTCAATCCCTGGGTCAGGAAGATCCCCTAGAGGCGGAAATGGCAACCCACTCCAGTATTCTTGCCTGGAAAATCCCATGGACAGAGGAGCCTGGCGGGCTACAGTCCATAGGGTTGCAGAGTCAACACACTGGGCATGCATGCACGACCTGACCTCATAACAAGACCTATTGCTAATGACCCACTGGAACACAAATAAAATCTGATTTAAAAAATTGTAAAGATGGTAAGTTGTATGTGTATTTACCACAGTATATGTATTTTTTTAATTTTTAAAGCAAAAAAAGACTGAGAGATAGGAAGATTACTGGTCCAACATCTTGGTTTACACAACTGGGTTAGGGGAGGAGCACATATTTCCAAGAGCATCCGTGACAGTGAATGGCCAGCTGGGCCCAGGGAAGGAGGCACACCCCAGGCAGCCAGGCTGTGGTTCCCCTGAGCTGAGACCCCAACCTGAAGGCGACAAGACTCCTCCCAGCCGCATGGGATCCGGTGACACCCTGGGGACCTCAGGGCTCCTCTGCTGCCCCCGCCCTCAGCCAGCAACAGGAAATAAGCCAGAGGGGGGCCACGTGTTTAGGAACAAAATTTATTCCAATTTAAAACAGAATTCATTTCAGGAGAAAGGTATGAAAAGTCAATTTCCACCAGCTCTCTCTGGATTAAGGGGTCAGGGCCCCAGTGCGGACGCACTGCCTGGACATGGGTGGCTCCAGCAGCCCCGCAAGGCCGGCACTGAGCTGACCACCCGCCCCTCAGCCCGCACGGAAGATACATGCATTTCAAATGACAAAAGGTTTAAAAACAGCATCTTTATATAATATTCTTTTTTAAATAGATTAAGGTTTAAATTGTCTGAAATCAGGATTGTTTAATATACAAGCAGGCGAGGTCGCCCCCGCCGGCCGCAGGCCTCCTCACGCCGCTGGGGCGTTGGCACTCGGAGGGCAGTTCTGCTGGGTGACGTGACATGGTGGGGGTGGGAGCTGGCACTCAGGGATGCGCCGCCGAGGTGAAGTTCACACTGGGGGCAAGGAGGGCCTGAACCCTGCCACCCCATTCTCCCGGCGCCGAAGTGGGGCCAAGTTGGCGGGGTCCCAGCGGGCCGGACGGGGAGGTTTGGCACTGCGGGGCTGGGCCTGCCCTGGGATATTGGCACGCTGACCTCTCGGGAAGTTAATACTCTGGGTGCACATCGCCCACCCCACCTCCCCCTCGAGAGCCTGATCCAGTTCCCTGTGTGATGTGGGACCGCGGGAGCCCACCGCCAGCCGCACCACCAGTCCCCCAGGTACACATCAGGGTTAGGGTACAAACCCCACACGTGGACACATGGCACAAAAGAGGGCCGTTCCGGTGAAGACGCTAGGGGAGAACAGGCCAGGAAGTGTGCCCCCCGCCCCACCCGGGGTCCGCCGTTCAGGAATGCAGGGGTGGGGGTGGGCTGCAGTGGTAGGGGTGGAGCTGGTTTGCCTTCTCCCATCATTTCTCTGCAGGGATCCAAGGCCGCCCCAGTGCTCAGGTGCGCTGGGCAGGTGTGAGCCCCACCGGTGGGCCACTCTCCGCACCTTGGTGCAAGAAGCCAAGCACACAAAACCAATCACCGCAGCCCTTGGTCCATGCCTTCCCCCAGAAACAGGCCCTCTGGGAGATGCCTCTGTGCCTGGCCGTGGCCGTGGCCGTGACCAGGCTGAGGGCCCACCTCCGGCTGCCACAAGCCCGAGGTCTCGGTTCTCGGCAACGTGCAGGGCGGTGGGCACCGCCCCAACGGCCATGGACCTGCCAGGCTGACCCTCCCTCTCTCTCTGCCTCCCGGGGACAGACCTGAGAAGATTCTGAAAAAGTCCCCACTGCACACCCACTGTTCCCGAAATGGCTACAAAATACAACAAAATAGAGCCACTCTGGGTCCCTGTGGGCCCCTCGGTGTCGGGGTTGGTGTTGGAGCCCAGGAGCACTCCCAGGGGGAGCACAGGTGCTGGAAGGCCCCCTCCCCCCAATCCTGCCCAGAGAACCTGACGCACCTGGGCTCCCACCCCCGGGCTCCCACCAAAGGCAGGACTGCCAGAGGCCCTGGGCTGCAGTTTTGTTTCCTCAAAAAAAAAAAAANCACGCCGCTTGTTTTGTGTTCCGTTTTGTGAGATGGAGACTGCCCCCTCCCTCGGACCCTCCCCACGTCGCACTCCCCTCTCTCAGGGGCACGCTGATTTATAGCACCTGTTAGGAACACATAATGGATGCAATTAGCTGTGGCACTAGAGGAAAAACTTAACAGGAAGAGTTGACTTTATTCCAATAAAAGATAAATGTGTCTGTTTTCATGAACTTAGCTCATTAATTTCCACTTCTGGAGCCAGTTTTTTTTTTTTTTTTTAGAAAAAAGCAAGCCACAAGTCAAGGCCAGAAAAAGGCGGCCTCTGCCACTGACAAAGACGAGAAGGTGCACGAGGTGTGTAGGAAGAGAGGTGTACGTCCCCTGATAACTGTGAAATAAAAACCATTTGTTTAAAAATATGAAACCCCGACTCGTGGGGCGGCTGGCGACCGGCGGGCAGCTGGCGGAGTCCCGGTCACACCAGGTTGTACTCCTTCAGGTTGAGCTGCAGGATGGTGTCCTTGACAGCGGCGAAGACAAAACGGATGTTCTCTGTGTCGGTGGCGCAGGTGAAGTGAGAGTAGATGATCTTGTCACTGTCGGGGTTTAGGTCCACACCCAGAGCCTCCTGTGCTCACCCACCGCCCACCCCAGCCCGGAGCCCACACTTCTGGCCCTGCCCGGCCTCCTGGCTCCATAGGGAGCATCTCGGGGGACATGTCCTGGAACATCGGTGACGCTCCTTCCTTCCCCACCACTGGCCAAGGTGGGAGTGGTAGAGCCCTGCCCACTCCCCAGACCTCCAGGGATCTCCAGGTGGGAGATGGGGATGGTCCTGGGTTCACCTGCATCTCCAGTGCCCCCCACCTCCCAGTGCCCAGGCCTAGGGAGGGAGGGGCACACCAGCGAGCGGTGACCGCAGGGCACCCCTCCCACAGACGACACTCCCCTGGGGGATACCAAGGTCTCCCACCCTCCAGGGTCCCAGGAGGCACCCGTGAAGCTTAGCCACACTAACTGTGCTGCGGCCTCCCCATGGCCTCTGGAAGCACCCTCCCTGCGCTACAGACCAGGACACCTAGGCCCAGAGAGGGTGAGGGATGGCCGGCGTGGTGCCTCACCGTCGAACTCCGGGAAGTAGTCCACCAGGTGGGAGTGGAGGATCTTGTCCTCCAGCAGATCCTTCTTGTTGAGGAAGAGGATGACGGATGAGTTCTGGAACCAGGGGTAGGTGACGATGGTCCGGAACAGCGCCTTGCTCTCCTCCATGCGGTTCTGCAGGGAGGGTGGTAGGTTGGCATCAGGCCCCCCAAAAGGGCCTGTGGCCCCCATCACCAGGCTCAGTGCGGGCCTCACCTCATTGTCCGACTCCACCAGCACTTGGTCGTACTCACTAAGGGCCACAAGGAACATGATGGACGTCACGTTCTCAAAGCAGTGAATCCACTTCCTCCGCTCAGACCTCTGGCCCCCAACATCCACCATCCTGCACAGCGGGGCACACAGGCTCAGTACTGGGTTGCGGAAGACACTGCACCCCGCAGCAAACCCTGCCTCCCTCAGGATGGCTGCATCAGCCAGGGCCACGAGGACCCCGATGGCATCGGAGCCCGCCCCTCAGTCATCTGTCACAGGCAGCAGAGACATCAAGCACTGGAATTCCCAGCCACAGCAAGAGCCAGCCTGCTGCTTCTCTGCGGAGGCTCCGGGACACTGACACCAGCGGGGCAGGGCGAAGGCGAGCGTTGAGGCGGGGCGAGGGGACGGGGGCATGCTGTGACTGCTGACAGGTCTCTCTTCCTACTTTTGAGTTTCCTAAGTTTTCTATGATGAGGAACACTACTTTTAAAGTGGACAGTGAGAAGGATAGCGGCCTGAGAAGGTGGGGAAGGGCCAGGGGGCAGCTCCAGACAAAGGGCACAGCAGCTGCGGGGTGGAGGCCAAAATGAGGCGGCGTGAGGGACACCTGGGATGTGGGGTTTGGGAGGAGGCTCAGACAGGCCCCATCTGTGCCCTGCGGACCTCTGCCATCCCATACTCTATCAAGAATCTGAAAGAGACAAAAATGCTGAACTCTCACCAGAAAATGTACCCTCAGGCATGGGTAGGGTGATGCCTATAACTTCTGAGGGCCTGAGGGAATCATCAGGGGCTCTGATGGGTGAAAAAGGGTGAGGGGGGCAGGCAGGGGGCCCCCAGGCTCTCTCCCTGTCCCAGGAGCCTTTACCTGAGCAGTAGGGTCCCAGGGGGCAGAGTTGGCTCTCCAGCCAGAGGGCACCTCAAGGCTAACCTGACCTAGTCGGCTGGCACTTCCAGGCGCAGGGCAGCATCTGCCGGCATCTGTCTCTGGGCCCCCACCTGGGGTGGGCTCGCCCAGCAGAGGGGACCCTGTGAGGCGGGGGCGGGGAGGGAGGGCTCGCAGCCAGAGCAGAGCCCCCCACCCGGAGCCTGGGCCATGATTACAGTTGTACAGCCTCATCTGGGAGTGGGGTCCCTGCAGGCATCGCCGGTTAGGACACAGTCACCCCAGAGCAAGGCCCTGAACCCAGGGACTGGTGGTGTCACCGTAAGAGGGAAATGTGGGCACAGACACGGGAGGAGCCACATGACGACGACAGGGAGACAGAGTGATGCGGCTGTGAGCCAGGGAATGCCGCGGGCAGCCAGCGCCACCAGAGCCAGCAGGGATGGGACAGATGATGCCCAGGCCCTCGGGGGTCCCAGCCCTGCTGCCACCTGGACCCCAGACAGCTGGTCTGCAGAGCCGGGAGAAGACGCACTTCTATGGTTTAAGTTGCCCATCTGTGGTCATCATGTGCCCATCTTATGGCCGTCCCAGGAGACACACTTGGCTTTGCCGCTTGGCAGCTCTGGACAAGCTATGATCTCATGGAGTGGCAGGGCCTGTCCTCAGGGACAGCCCTGAGCCCACTCTGGCTGCACAGCCTGCAGGACAGGGTTGCTGAGGGGCCTTCAGGTCGCTACGCTGCCCAGAGCACCCCTGCTCTGGCCCCGATTCCAGACCCCCCACCCACCTGCAGAGACCCGCATCTTCCTCTATCTGAAGTCATGCTCCGCAGGCCACCTCCGTGCAGCTCCTGAACGCCATGAGGCCCTGGCTCCCTGGGAAACCTGGGGACAGCCCCAGATAACAACCCCTCGCTGGTACCCCCCGGGGCCCGGGCACCTGAAGATGATGTTTTCCAGGTCGAAGGGGTACTCGATGATGCCCGTGGTGGGCACGCGCACCCGCAGCACGTCCTGCTGGGTGGGCAGGTAGCCTGAGGTGGCAATGCGGTCCACGTCCGTCAGGTAGCTACAACACAGCAGGGGGGGGTGGGCTCAGGCCGGCAGTGAGGGGCCTCCCACCACCCCTGGGGTCCCTCCCCACTGCCCTGGGCCTCTGAGTGACTGGGAGGGGCTGAAGTAGCCCAAGTACCTGGGACAAGAATGGACAGGGACAAAATGAGGCTGCAGGGAAGGCGTGGGATAGAGCCCCATCGGCTCTGGGGGCCAGCTATCAGGGCTGGGGATGGAGCAGGGGTTCCAAGAGAGACTGTGGGCTGGAGGGGTAGCTTTTCAAAGCCAGACCTATTCCTTTGGAGCCTGGTGAGGTCCAAGAGCTGGGACTCACACCCCCCACCCACACCCCCTCCCTGGCCCCCAGCACGCCCCAGCCCCACTCACTACTTGGCGGAGTCCGAGAGCTGGTACTCGCGCCGGCGGTCATAGCACTCCTGGATGCCGGGGTCGTTCCACAGGGTCTTGATGGCGCTCACGTACCGGTGCTCGAAGGTCGTCACCTTCTCCACGTCCACCTCCCGGATCAGGAGAGCGTTGGCCTGCAGGGGGAGGGGTAAGCAGGGGCAACACACAGCGCCAGTGACCAACTCAGAACCATCGACTTCCATTTCCCGTGAACACAAAGCAGAGCAAAGTGACAGGCAGTGACCGCTCCCCAGGGCCAGGTCCCCAAAGCAAAACTCAGGACAGAAGCAGCTCCCAGGAGCAGGAATGCCACATGCCTCAGTGCCCAGGTGCCCCAAAAGAGGGGACAGTAGGCTCTGAACAGGACGGAGGAACAAACACCACAGAGCTCCCACGTTCCCAGGTCACAGGAGAGGAAACCAAGGACAGAGAGCTGCTCTGACCTGGGAAGAATCTGCCCCGTTTCCAGGCACAGGGCTCTGGAAACCCTCAAGGTCTCTGAAGGGCTAGGTACTCTGTGTGCAGCTGGGACGGGGCTGGGGGCCAGAGCCACCCACCACAGACGGGAGGCTGGGTTCATCAAAGTGGCCCGATGACTCACGCCTCTAGGATGGAGCCTCCACACAGACCCTGGAGCACAGGGCTTGGAGACCCGCTCCTCAAGAACCGCTGCCCAGAGAGCCACACGTGTACACCACACACACATGTACACACTGGTGTGCACACACAACATGGGGCAGAAGGCGCTCAGGAGAGCCGCCCCCCCAGCCCTGTGCTCAGGGTGGTCCAGTCACACTCAGTTGAGTGGCTGGGGAGGAGACACAGTGGGGTAGACTCCAAACAGGGAGTGAGGAGGCCCCAGCCTGGGCTCTGGAACCCAAACCCTTGCCCTACCAGTTGTGGTACCCAGCCTCCAGATCCCCCTACAGCCATGTCCTTCAGCCCCTCCCACTTCTCAGCCTGGGCTTGGAGAAGCAACTCCAGCCCCAGAAAACCTGCCTGACCCTGGATGCACGGAGATCAGGGACCAGAGGTCTGTTCCTACAGCCACACTGTCCCTGCCATGGCTGACAGGTAAGCGAGTAGGCATGGCCTGTGCAGAGAAAGCTGCCATTTACAGAGACAGGCCTCTATCCGCTGATCCCTGTTCCAGACTCTGCTGAATTTCATGATCAAAGGTGGACTTGGAGGGGCCTCAAGTGGAAGCGATCTTACAAATCAGAGGGCAAGAGCCTCCAGCAGATCCCCACACTTGGCCCACAGCCAGGCCAGCCAGGCCCCCAACCCATCACTGGGCTTCTAGGGCCCCTGATGACAGCAGTCAAGGCAGGAAGATGCCAATATCTGGTGAACTAGCTGTCTGAAGCCTCAAAGTGAAGGGATTAATGTAAATAAACCCTATAAGACATATGTGGACTCTGGTGCCACTGTCAGCCTGGGCAACTCCTGGGGGTGAATGAGGAGCCCCTGAAAACAGATCCACAAAAGGAAAGCCAAGGGAGGTGGCCAGCAAGAGCCCACTGTGATGCACAACTAGGAGAACACCACTTGGACAGCAGGTGGGCAGCTGCTCCAGAGTGCAGACCAACAGGGACCCTGGACTGCACACTCCACTGCTGGGGACACACCCAGGAGAACAAGGATGCACACACCAACAGAAACTTGCTCACGAATGTCCTAGTGGCATGTCCGCAAGAGCTCATGTCCCTCGACGGCTGATGAATAAACAACTGTGGTCCCTCCACACACAGAGCATGACTCAGCCACAAAGAGAAGCCCTGACACTCACTACCATGTGGACGGACCCTTAGAACATGATGCTCAGTGAGAAAAGCATTCACACAACGATACACAGGGTGTGATTCCACCGATGGGAAACGTCCAGAACAGGTCAATCCACAGACACGGAGAGTGGGTTCCTGGTTGTCAAGGGCTGGGGCAGGAGGATGGGGCGGTGACTGCTGATAGGGACATGGTGTCTTTCTGGTATGGTAAGAATGTTTTGGAATTAGAGATGATGGTTGCACCACACCATGAATACGTTAAAAATGAGTGAAATGCACACTTTAAGTGGGTAACTTCATACGTAAATGTTCTCAACAAAGCTGTTACAAAAGAAAGTAAGAGGAAGTGCCACTCTCTGGGGTCCCAGAGGGCCCGATTCAGCAAGTGGAAGGCCTGCAGGACAGGCTGTGAACTGCGGCAGGATGTGCAGTGGCCCCCGGCCTCACCTTGTTCTGCTCGTACTTGTAGAGGATCTTCAGGGTTTCCATGGCGCGGATCATGGCCTGCATGGCGGTGAAGATGTTCTGGTACACCAGTTTGGTGAAGCCCCGCTTGTCCTCCTCTGAGTAGCCCGCCCCGTGGATGATGCGCATCTGCTTGATGAACGTGCTCTTCCCGCTCTCGCCCGTGCCTGCAAATGGCCCAGTGAGACCCCAGCCCTGTGTTCCCTGTGTTCCCTGTGCCCGCCCATGGGGAGCCCCACCCAAGTGGAGGCGAGGCGGGGACACGCCTGGCCCGGCCCGCTGCTGCCCCTAGAATCAGGCGTCCTCCCCTGCACACCCACGTCTACATGGGAGCCAGGGAGCTGAGCCTCCAAGGAGGTCAGGATGACAATGTGGGCAGGGACAGGAGGGGGGTGGCAGCTGCACCTGCAGCGACTGGGGTCTGAATTCAACTCCGGCCGCAGCAGAGGAACCAAACGCTGGAACAGTGAAGTGCCTCTCCCACAGGCCACCGCCTGCTTAACTGCGGGTGGCTGCAGGTTCACTCCCAGGTCCCAAGCACCCTTGTCTGGCAGCATCCCACCAATCCCTAGCTGCTCCTCTTCCACGACTTCCAACCAGAACAGCTTTCCTTCGGGGCCTGAGTTTGGCATCTGTGCACCTCAGGGAGGGGCACGAAGAGGCTCCAGCTCCGAGATCTGGGGATCAGAGTCAGCTGCAACCCCCCTGAAAGGGGCCCCGGGGGCCTCTTTGTCCTCCCCCTCTTCACCCAGTGCGCGGGGTGCCAGCGCCACCCCACCCGGCCCCACAGGCACCAGTGCTCCCCTCGCCGCCCTGTCACCTCTAAGCAACAAACCCATCTCCCCACATTCATTCACCCCCAAATACAGCCACAGCAATTTTACATTTCAATGTGTCCAGGAATCTCTGTGATGCCTCCCAGGCAGAGCTGGAGACTGATCCCCTTTCCAACCCACAGAACCAGACCAAGGACAGCCTGGCACTGCAAGACAGTCAGAGGAGGCACTGGGCTCCCTAGTCTCTCTGGGACTCTCTCAGGGGCCAGGGGTAGCTCCGCGGGGGCCCACACAGACAGGAGCCACGTGAGAGGCTCCCTGGTCTCTCTGGGACTCTCTCAGGAGCTGGGGGTAGCTCCGCGGGGGCCCACACAGACAGCAGCCACGTGAGGGGCCATGCCGGAACCCTCTCCTCAGAACCTGCCTATGGTTTTCAGCTACTAAATTACAGGGTGATTTTACTGCACAGCAGGAGAGAACGCTACATCCTAAGGATGCACCGCCTCAATCCCTGCTGCTGCTGCTGCTGCTAAGTCACTTCAGTCATATCCGACTCTGTGTGACCCCACAGACATCAGCCCACCAGGCTCCCCCGTCCCTGGGATTCTCCAGGCAAGAGTCTCAATCCCTACGTGGTAACAAATGCAGGTCCCACTCACCCATGGACCGAAGGCCAGGGCCCCCTTTTGGGGACTCAGAATCCCCAGACTCACCCACCTGCCCACCTGCCCAGCCTCATCCTCCTCACCCTGTCTGAGTGGCCTGCGCCCCCCACCCCGACTCGGGGGCCTGGGCTGCATGCTCCCCACACACTGTGGAGCTCACAGCCACCTGTGCCACGGGCAGGGGGCAGGAGCCCCCTTGCACTGGGACCTATCACCGTGCTGCGGGGGTCTCTCTCAGGTATCTGCTGCCCGCCTCCTTGCTCAGCGGGGTTCCTGGAGAAGAGACAGGTTCTGAGCGCCCTGCAGTGACCACGCTGTCCTGCAGCAGGAGGCCCTCCACCTGTGTTTGAGTAGCTGACTGCAGGAGGTCCCCTGGGAAGATCCGAGTCTCAAGCTGGACAAAGCAGGAGCCTCAGGTGGCCGCCCCTTCTAGGATATCCATCAAGGCCCTCGGTCCTTGGGTTTGTAATAAACAAACCCAACTCTGGTTCTGTCACCAAGTGGTGACTACCCCTATTCCACCCCTTCCCTTCCTATCTCTGCACAACACCAACCAGGGCCAGTCGCCCATTCCCACGAAGGCCCCCCAGTTCTGGAGCAGGAGGGGATGACCCCACACCTCCCTGAGAGATCCACGAACCCTCACTGCACAGGGTAGGGTGGGGATGGGCAGGAGGTGGTGGCACACAGGAGTACATGTCCAGCGCTGTCTCTCCTGGACCAGGGTCCTCCCAACACTGCTGCCATCGGGCTCATCGCAGGTTCTATGGGCCGTGGAGCAGTCTCCTTGCCCCCACCCTCTTGATGCCCCCACCCTCAGTGAAACCACCACGGATGTTCCCCGACAGGGCCCAAGGTCCTCTGGGGGCAGGATCACCAGAGTAAGAACCACTGGTTCTGATAAAATTCTACTGTAAAAAGACACATGCCCTGCTGGCCGTCTGGAAGGGTTTCTCACTGGAAACACCAGACGGTGGCCACTCAAGCCCAAGCCCTGCAGGCCGCAGGTCAGCTGAGGTGGAGAGGGGGGCCCCTGATGTGGAGCCCCCTCAACTGCAGGACAAGCAAGTGAGCCACGTTGAGTGCGAGGGCGCCAGGAGACCAGAGAGAGCTGCCCCCGAGGCAGACACAGCCAGCATCTTCAGAACTGGCGCCAAAGGGGTGGGCAGCCCCCACAGCGCCCCCTAAGGGCGGTGCCAAGCACCAAGGGTCACACACACCAGCACACAGCCTGCACCCACAGCCAGGGACCGCGGGCAGGGAGTGACCACTAAGGAGCCCTGAATGCAGGCCAGAGAGCGGCTGGGAACAACGGGGACGGCTGAGGGCCCCACACAGACACCGCCCACGGGACACGCCCCAACGGAGAAATGCAAGATGGGCCCCAAGGAAGCTGGAAGCACAATCAACCCTGTAGACACGGGGGTCCTGGACAAGGCACGTGGCCCAAACCCTGCCAGCGCAGAGGAGCCGCTGTGAAGACAGAGTCGTGATCCAGGCCAGGAGCAAAAGGCACTGGTGAGGTGACAGGGTGAGATGGCCTCGATTGGCGATCATGTCACAATGCCTGCGCCAAGTCTTCATGTGTCCCCACTTACACCACACAGCTCAGGGTGCATCTCAATTAAACCAGGTGGAACACAGCAAAAGGGACACCCCGGGAACAGAGTGCGACGTGGGATGGTCAGTGACCCCGTCCAGTCAGTGTCACTTTGCCAGGAAGAACAGAGAAAGGCAAGAGGGCGGGGGGAGGTGGTGGCCATAGAGGCCAGGCCCCCAGGGCCCCACCAGTGAAGGGTTGTGTCAGCCATGCTCGGGGCCAGCCCCTGCGGGAGCCTCCGCAGCAAGGCAGCAGTGCGAGGGGCAGGAGCCCACAGGCCTGAGCTTGGCCACAACTGTGCCCGGGAGGGGGAGACAGGAAAGGGTCTGGGTGTCCCCTCCAGACACCCGTCTCCTGGGCCAACTCAGCCCACGTGCTGCCAACAGCCAAGCCCCAGCGCACAGGACCCAACGTCTATCTGCGCAGAGAAGTCTCTGGGCGCAAGGCCTGCCTGGCCCTCACAGCTGGACCCGTCTGCTGTGGCTGATGGCCAGGGGTCCCAGGCAGCTCCAGCTCACCCCAGCTCTTCGTCAGTCCCTCCAGAAGATCTGGTCACTTGTGCCCTTCAGCTCAAAACCCTTCAACGGCTGCCCGCAGGGGGAAGAGCAAGGCCCCACAAGCAAGACAGTGGAGAACCTGTGCTGGCCTCGTTCCAGCCCCACCCCCACACAGGGGATGCACAGGGCACCCACGGCCACAGCCCTCCTGTCCTGGCCACGCTCAGACCCCAGGCTTGCGTCTGTGGGTCCCTGGCCCCGCCAGTAGGACAGGCCCGACCTTGCATGAGGACTCGACCACCCATCGGGCAGCCCCCTGCCCAAACACTGCCCCAGCTCTGCACAGAAACCCCAATTCATGTTTTCCAAGAAGCACTCCAGCACCCCCAGCATCCCACCAGCTCAAGCCGGCTCCCTGAAAGCAGGGGTCTGCCTGCAGCCCTGCACCCCAGGCCCCAGCCCAGGCCTGGCCCACAGAAGGCACCACACAAATTTTCCCTGAATGAACCAAAAGAACTTGGCCCCACCCGTGGTCTCGGCTCTTTCACATGCCCCCCGACCCCCCCGACCCTGCCCTGGGTCCTCTGCATCCCCAGTGGTTACCCCAAGAACAGGTCAGCCCAGGCGAGGGAGGTCCTGGCTGTGGGGCCTGACAGGGTCAGCCTGATGCAGCGGGCCCAGAGCTCTGGGCGCTCAGCAGCATCACCAGCTGCCCAGGCAAGAGTGCCTGGAGAAGAGGAAGAAGAGCAGCCTGTCCTACGAGGGAGGCAGAAAGCCACAGTCTGTCTGCCAGGTCGGCCAAGATCTAAGACCTCGGATTAGGAGGAAGTGGGTCTGAGCCCGCAGCCGCCACTCTGATATGGGAAAGCTGGGGGCAGGGCTGGGGCCTGGAGGGCAGAAGGGAGGTGCTGGGCTGACCTCACCCAGGGCCTCTGGTGTGCAGCAGGTGGCCACCATCCAGCAAGAGAATATCAGTGTCAGAAGCTGGGGTTCAGGGCTGCTGCCTGGCCGTCCCTCACCCCTGGACATGGGCAGTGAAGCCAGGAAGCCCAGGACCACAGGAGCCCAGAAGCCCTGGTGAGAACACCACCGGATATCTGGGCTCCTGAAGACACAACCAGAAATCCTGTGTCAACAGGTCTAAGATCAAAGAAGGACTCCAATCGCGTGCCAGGACAAAGAAAGCGCAGACTCCTCATATATGTAGTCGAGGACAGTGCCTGCACGCTCCCCTTGCCCCACTGGCCTATTCATTCATTCATTCACTGGTAGGTCTATCACCCCACCTCCCACTGGACAGGTGAGCAGGCTGAGGCACAAAGAGGTCACGCAGCTTCACTGAGGTCACACAGCTGGTAACTGTCAGACCTCAGCAGGCTCAGCGCTTCCAACTTCATGTCTGTCTGTCTCCCCATGGTCCGTGTGTCGGCCACCCAGGGAAGTGAGAGAATGCAGGAGCACCAGGGGGACACTCGCAGGGCCTTAAAGACACCACAGCAGTGGGTTCGAGGCAGACAAGGGCCAGAGGGAGGACGTGGGATGGGCCTCGGGACTCACCCCTTTATCTGCCTTCCACACGGTGGCTGCTAAGCCGGCAGAGCCTCGTCCTGTCCAGGTGGCTCCAGGCGCAGGACACCAGACCCCTCCGGGCCAACCCTACTCATCCCCACATGCTGGGTCCCAAAGGAGCCCTCCCTGAAGTCTGACTCTCAGGAGCCAGGAGACCTGCTGTGAGTCCCCCCACTCCGCCTACCCACTGAGGCTCAGGAGAGATGGGGTGACCACCTCCCATTCAAACTTCCCCCTCCTCGGCCTCCGTGAGGGCTCTGACCTTCCAGCTCTGGGCCTGATCAAGGTCCATGAGCAAACCTCTATGGTGGGGGCTGGGATCAGAACAGGACCTGGCTCTGAGGGCCAAGCTCCAGAGACCTCACTGAGGGACAGGGAGGCCTGCATAGCGGCAGCGGGACACCGGCCAGTGCAACACTGTGAGTGGAAATGGGCGAGGAGGGTGCTTCCCATCTGACATATCACTCCACCTGACCCATGCCACCCATAGCCCTGGAATCAGTGGGACGCTATCTTTTCACAGAAGAGAAATGGAGACTCAGGATGCACCAGGGACCAAAACCCCCTCCCAGCGGAACTTGGACAAAGCATCAGGTAAGAAGGAGACAGCACCTAACACTGGCTAAGCACCACTGTGCACCAAACACCTCGCAGGCATCACAGCCTTAACCCCCAACAGACAGCGCTACGGCAGGAGGCCCTCCATGCCCACTCGCAGGAGGCCTCAGGCAGGTAGGAACTGTGGGCTGTCCTGAGCCACCGTCTGTCCACGCCCCGGAGCAGAGGGCCACCGGCACTGGCAACAGGCCTCTGAGCAGGAAGCCTCACACACAGGAGAGATGCGAGGATGCCCAAGTTGGGGCACCCAGTCATCCCCATTCCACCTGCCTGGAGGAACTGTGTTCAACTGAGCAGAGTCACCCAGCAAACGTCTCAGAGGTTTGCAGGGCTCTGTGCTGGCTGAGGGGTGGCGGCGCCTAGAGGGGGCACGTCATGAGGGGAACAATGGGGACACCTTGGCAGGGACTGGCCAGGTGCCCTGCAGAGGAGAGGCCGCGGCCACCTGGGAGACAGAGGGGCCAGGGCATGGGGCACAAACTCCTGCAGCCGGCAAGCCTGAGGCCGGGGTCCCAGTGCTGAGTAGCTGGAGTTCCACCAGAAAAATACCCCTGCACGTGGGCACCCCCAAAGCCCACGGAGACGCCACGGACACCATGGTGCCCACCACGGACACCAGGCCAACAGGCCCATGGCTCCCTGTCCTGATAGGAGAGGAGCCCTGCGAGGACCAGACACACCACTGCCCTGGGCTCCGCACACACGTCCAGGCTCAGCCCAGACCAGACCCACCCACCTAGGGCTGGACTTTGCCCCCAAGACCACGTGGGGCAGAAGAGGGACAAGTGGGCTCCCCTCCCTCCTGCCAGGGGTCCCCACTGCAGCCGCTTCCAAACGCCCAGCCCCCAGCTCCGGAGCAGCAGTGACCACGACCTGCAGGGAGCAGGGCTCCACCACAAAAATCAGAAAGTGAAACCTCCTACGGTTAAACATCCAAATGGACCACTTCCTCGGGGCTCTCAGCAGCTCAGCCGAGGCTCCTGGAGACTGGGACGCATCTGTGTACAGGAGTCAGGGCCCAGGGACAAACCTGGAGACAGTCTGGGGGCCCTGGGAAGGGAGAGTCCCTCCCTCCCACGCAGCACACAGGACATAGAGGGAGAGGCGTCCTGAACATGGGTCCGGGCTCCCGCACCTCCAGGGACGGCGCCTACCTAGCTCTTAAGCCCCTAAAACACACTCTGGGGTGCGTTGTGAGAGAGGGCCACAAGGGGTGGCCCAGAGGCCCCAGAGGCGTCCAGCTCTCAGGGTCCATGGAGGACACGCAAGGCCACCGCCAACTGCCACGGCCACGTTCCACTCGTGCCTCAAAGCGGGGCAGGCACACCCTTCCCGCTGGGGCCACCACACCCCAGGCCGGATTCCGGGCCTTTCCACCACCGCCGACCGGACAGGAAGCCTGTGGAACTGACCGCCCTGCTTTATTTAGAAATCCCCGAGCCGCTCTGTTGCTCAGCTCCCAGAGCGGCGCTTCCCGTGGCAGGCCTCAGCTCTCTAGGGAAACCTGCTCTGAGGAGCAGAAATCTGCCCTAAGGGGTCTCTTCCATGGGTCTCCGTACTTGCCCCAAGAGGGGTCCCAGGAAGTGAAAGCTGGCCAGGCTGCCTGGGAACCCCGCCAGAAGCTTCTACCTGGGCTTGGGGTCTCTCATGCAAAGCAGGAGAGCGACGCTGAGCCATGGGGCCCTTGGTCTACCCTCGCAGTGTCCCCCCCACCTGGGGGTCACCTGTTCCCCACCACAGACCACTGTCCACAAGGATGCAGCCAGGAGTAACGAGACAAACCAAACTGAATCATCACCCACATTCGCAGACATACTGAGTGTTGAGTGCAACCTGTTCCCCACCACAGACCACTGTCCACAAGGATGCAGCCAGGAGTAACGAGACAAACCAAACTGAATCATCACCCACATTCACAGACATACTGAGTGTTGAGTGCAAGCATATATGTGGCTTTGGACCATACAAACAAGAACAGTCACTTTTTAAGCATCCAGACACATGACAAAACAACCTACACCGATCACCACCGGCTCTGTCACACACACTGTACTCTGTGTACTGACACAGTGCAGAGCTGATTCCAATAACACAAATGGGGGTGACCCTGCTCTTCGGGGACACGGGGCCACAACCAGGGACGTCTGTGGTTGTCAGGACCTGGGGGGCTCCTGGTGTCGAGTGGGCGGGGCTGCTGTTCAGCATCACCACCCCCCACCCCACCCCTCGCAGCACGTTCCCTGGACTTCTGCCCCGCATTTACAGCCGCCCTCCTGGGGTCATTAACCTTCACCTCGGACCTGCAAGCACTCATCTTCCTATCTGCCCCCGTGCCTAGGACTTAACAGCTTCCTGGGCGGGTGCAGACACCCCGTCCTGACCCTGGACACACTCTGATCCGCTGCCAGGCTCCTTGGCCCAAGCCCAGCGAGGGTGCAGGAGTATAGGCCGCCAACCCACATCCTGGAACCCCAGGTCAGTTCAGAGCATGGGTGCGCCCAGGGCAGGCGGAAGCTCACGCAGCCCCCAAGTAAGGCCCTCTGCCTGGTAACATTAATGTGCCGTAACTTCCAAACCTCTGAATAAAGTCTAGCCCTACTGACAAAAGCCAGCTGGCACCATGCTGTCCTCACAGGTGCCACTTCTTACCCTTGACTGCGGAGGTAAGTCCTCCAACAGCCCTTATTTGGGGTGACAACACTGTGCCAACCGCCAGGCCGACCGGCTCCCTGCAACAGGTGAGCCGTGGGGAGACGGAGACTGGGAGAGGAGTCTCCCTCAGGATGGGGAGGAGGACCTAGGCTCCCACTAGGACTAAGGAGAGGGGTCAAGGAGTCGGCCAGTTCTGAAAAGCTGCCCAGGTTCCTTCAGGGCTCCACCCACCCCAGCCCCAAGAAGAGAGGAAAGGCTGTCTTCTCCCCCACGGGCTATACTCCACTGGGAAAGGAAGGGATACAGGTCTTCCCGGCAGAGGGAAGGGAGGTGGGAACCCACCTGAGAGAAAGGGGGAGGGGATGGTGGTGTGTGTGTGTGTGGAGGGGGGACAGGCCCTGTGTGCAGGGAACAGGGCTCCACCTGGTGGGAAGAGTCGAGAAGGGATCCCAGGAAGCAAGGGTGCGTCTGATGGATTACAGCCCAAAGGTCTGGTCCCAAACAGATGCTAGGGTCAGCCAAGGGGCACACCTGGCAGGGTAGGGACAGGGGCCAGCCCAGTGCAGGGAGGGGGCTGGTCTCACGAGAAGGGGCAGAGGGCAGACCCTCGAGGGTTCTGGGGGCCGGACCTGGAAGCAGAAGCTGTCCCTGCAGAGATTGGGGGTGGACAGCCAAGACAAAACTGATCCCAAAGGGCCCAAGGGACCCCAGCTGGGCAGCTGAGGCAGGGGCTGGCCCTGCAGGGACTGGGGACCTGCCATGGGCAGCGCTGGCACGGGGACACTCCGAGGGTCCAGGGCGTTGATGTGGACACGAGAGGCAGAGGCAGGACCCTCTGACGTCAGGGGCTCAACTAGACAGCACATGTGACAAGGATGGGGTGGCCCAGAGACAGACAGCACAGGTAAGCAGGGTCTGACCCCAGACTCGGGCCCTGCAGCAGACAACACAGGTGGGTAGGCGCTGACGCCAGGCCCGGACCCGCAACAGAAAGCACAGGTGGGTAGGCGCTGACCCCAGACCCGGCCCATAGCAGACAGCACAGGTGAATAGGCACTGACCCCAGATCCGGGATCGCAGCGGACAGCACAGGTGGCCAGGCGATGACCCCAGACCCGGGCCCGCAGCAGAAAGCACAGGTGGGTGGGCGCTGACCCCAGACCTGGGCCCGCAGCGGACAGCACAGGCAGGTAGGGGCCGACCCCAGACCCGGGCCCTGCAGAGGACAGCACAGGTGGGTAGGCGCTGACCAGCGGGGGTCGACCCCGCCCTAGACAGCACGCAGGGCCGCCCCGCCCGCCCGCCTGCACGCGCATAGCCGGCCGGGACCCCGCAGGCCCCGGCACGCCGCCAACCGCAGCCGCCGCGACCGAGCGACAGCGCCTCACAACCTAACCCGCCAGCGGACAGCGCCGACGGGCGGCCGGTGCGGCCAATGGGAGTGGGCGGCGGCCCGCGCGCCCGCCGCGGAGGTGGGACTAGCGGTCGGGCTGGGCGGGGCGTCACGCGGGCGGGGAGAGGCGGGGCGAGGCGGGCGCGCCCGCGGGTTAGGTTGCGCCGACGTGGGAAGGGGGACGCGCACCCGGGAGCTGGGCGGGGCCGCCCGGGATTCTGGGAATGTGGAGGACTCGGCTTGGCCGACTCGGCTGGCCGGATCATCTGCGCTCGGCTCCGCTCGGCCCCGCTCCGACCGGCGGCCAGCTGTGCCCGGGAGCGGGGGGCTCCGACCCATTGCTTCGGTCGCAGGGCTGAGCGACCCAGGCCCCACGTGAGACTCTCGGATACCAGCCCTCACGGCCTCCCGGGGCGCCCTGGCATTGCCTGACCGGAAACAAAACTTCCTCTCATCAGTTCTTGGAACAAGCACTAATGGAACGCCTCCCGTATACCAGGCTTGGGCTTAGCATTAATACAGAGCCTGCTAATATGCCAGGTATGGAGCGAGCATTAATGGAGTACCCGCTGTATACTAGGCATTTACCAGCCATTTATGCAGTACCTACTGTATACCAGGCATGGACCAGCTTTTCATGTAGTGTCTACTGTGTAGCTTGCTGCAGTCCATGGGGTCGCAAAAAGCCAGACAAGACTGAACAGCAACTGTGTAACTAAGGATTACCAGGCAGAAAACAGTGTGATGCCTACTGTAAGCTAGGCACACACCATGCATTAATGCAACACTTGCTGTGTATCAGGCATTAGTGAGTTGCATGCTGTATTCCAGACAATTCCAGGGAGCAAGCATTAATGAAGCACCTACTGTAAACCAAGTACTGCAGGATTGATTTTTATGGGAGCATTGCCACACCCATTCATTTATGGAAGTTGGCAGCTTTCACCCTGCACCAGGGCAGAGTTGAGTTTTTGCAGCATCACTAAAATATTTACTATCTGGTATCTTTGGAAAAGAGACCTAGGACGGGGTCTAAACTCACAGTAGGTGCACAACCCATGTTTTTTTTAGCTTATTTATTCTCATTTATTGAACATCTACTATGTATCAGGCTAATAGGTAATTAGAAAGAAAAAAAGGATGTGAATAAATTGAAAAATAAAATAATGAGAATCAAATTAAATATGACATTGCTGTCAGCAACAGGGATCTGGAAATCACCCAAATGGGAAAGACATAGTTAAAGCATCAGATAGAAAAATTCACTCTTGGAATTGTTAAAAAAAAAATTCATAAACAAACAAAAATACTATAAATAAAGACACTGGCAGCTCTCACATGTTTTTTATCTGACAGAGTTTCTTTTTTTCTTAACAATATTCAGCAAACAATTGGCATTCAGTTAGGACTACTAACTGATCAATGCAAATGAACTCCCTCAAAACTGGGTGCTACACTGCAACTGCTTCTCAAATGCTACCTTTACTCTAAGGTGGCTGCGCCAGTGTGTCTCACCCTCCTATAGGTTTTTGTTTGTTTGGCTGCACCAGGTCTTAGTTGCAGCAAGTGAGATGTTCAGTCTTCATCAAAGCATGCAGGTTTTTAAGTTGCGGTGTGCAGGATCGTCTCCATTTTTTTTTTTTTTTTTTTTTTAGTTGAGGCATGCAAACTCTTAGTTGTAGCATGTGGGATCTAGTTCCCTGACCAGGGATCGAAATCACAACCCCCTGCATTGGGAGCTCAGAACCTTAGTAACTTGAGCATCAGGGAAGTCCCGCTAGAGGTTTTTAAGGTTAGTTTCAAAAAGGGACTTATTTTCACTGCCATATATGCATATTAGGATATGCCTTTTTGTAAGCTTTGCTCTTATTTGGTTTCACCCTGTATCCCCCTTGGGCTTCCCCGGAGGCTCAGGCGGTAAAGAATTCACCTGCAATGCAGGAGACCCAGGTTTGATCCCTGGGTTGGGAAGATCCCCTGGAGAAGGGAACGGCTACCCACTCCAGTATTCTTCTTGCCTGGGAAATCCCATGAACACAGGAACCTGGAGGGCCATCCCACTGCATATCATAATGTAATGTAAAATCGTAGCCATTTTTGATCCATGTGTTTTGAATGATTGAAAAGGGGAGGGGGGAACGCCCGAAGTGGAGACCTATCTCACAAATGAGGAACCCGAGGTACCCTTCTGCATGGTTCCCTGATGAGGACACCTGTCCCAGCCCTGACCTGGCCAGAACCCCCACTCTCTCCCTACCTGGCCCTGCCCAGATCCCATCACACACCTTCCAAGCTGTACCTTGACGCACTGGGCTCGCCTGTCTTGAGATAATGGGAGAGAGGAAGGTCAAAGTCTCCATTTATTAGTTGATTGGGACTGAGGAAAGGTTGATTCTTTGAGATGTTCATCTTGGAGGCACCCCTGCTGGACACGCAGCGAGGGTAGGGGCCCCCAGTGTACCCCCTCATCCCCGAAATAGAGGAAAGCTCCACTTGAACAAAGACCCAACAACCAGGGAACCCGAACAAAAACTTGGTTCCAGGTGCCTTGGCTCCATTGTCCCGTCCTCCAGGGAAGGCAGTTGGGCCAGGCCTTCCCTGATCACACTTTCCAATGCCATCCCCACCCAGCACCACTCTGCTGGGCTCCCTAGAGCCCTTCTCCCAGGTGAAATCATCTTTTCTCTTCCTTTCCTCTCTTCTTCCCACCATACTATAGGGCATCTCTGCTTTGATCACTGCTGCTTCTAGACCCAAACCTGGTACACAGTAGGTGTTCAGTAAGTATTGAAGGGAGAAATAGTTGGGTTCTTTTTTTTTTTTTTTTTGACCGCGCCATGCAGCATATGGAATCTTAGTTCCCAGACCAAGAATTGAACCCATGCCCCCTGTTCACTATCTTGCTTGTGCCGATGGTTACATGGGGGTGGACATATAACAAAACTTATCAAGATGTACATTTTAAACACAGGTGGTTCGTGGCATGTAAATTACACCTTCATAAAGCTGCCAAAATAAGAGGTGTCCAAGGAGGTGGTAGCCGTAAAGTACACATGTATGCCTGCTCATGCACTCAATTGTGTCCAACTCTTTGGGACCCTATGGACTGTGGCCTGCCAGGCTCCTCTCTTCATGGGATTCTCCAGACAAGAACACTGGAGTAGGTTGCCATTTCCTCCTCCAAGGGATCTTCCTAACCCAGGGATCGAACCCATGTCTCCTACATCTCCTGCGCTGGCAGGCAGATTCTTTGCCACTGTGCCACCTGGGAAGCCCTGTAAAGTACACAGTAGGTACTTAATAAGTGCTTAAATGTTTTAAAGGATACTGAAACAGGGAGCAGAATCCACAGGGGGTGGCTTGTCATTCTCAGCCATTCACTTAGCATCTTCCTTGTGCCAGACCTGAGTGGGGACCAGGTGGGGAAAAGATGGGGAAGAGAGGCCCACAGAGGGATGGTGAGCTGGTCCCAGGGCCCAGCTGGTGGCTAATTACTAACTCTGGCTACTCCACCCAGAGGCCCAGAGAGACAAAGTCCAGGGCTGCACTCCTCGACGGCTCGGAGGCCCCATCCTTCTGTCCCCACTGCCTCCTCCCCTCCTCCATCGTTGGAAGTTGATCTGCCATGCCCTGAGGGGTTCAATTTTATGAGGGGGTCCAGGGGCCAGGGAGCAAGGCCATTTCTTGGCACAGAGCTGAGAACAGGAGCAAAGGTGAATGGGGCCAGGCTGGGGGCACACAGGGCAAGGATCGGGGGAAATCAGAGGCTAGAGCACAGCCCTGGAACTGGGGGCAGATTCCACTGTGTTCAAGCCCCTGCCCTTCTCCAGTCCTCACAGCTGAAAATAGGGTGTTCATCACCCATGTCTCATGGACACTCAGCATCAGAGGAACCAGAAGGGGGTCACATCATTATCCTTCCTGCCTTACACCCCAACCTGCAATCCCAGAGGGTCTCTATTTGTTCTTTTTTCCTTTTTCTTGCCACCCAAAAAGATCAGAGTGAGGGGTCGGTGTCTGTCTGACCTGGCCTGGCCTGCAGCAAACATGCAATGAATGTTTTTTTTTTCTCTTTTTAATTTTTTATTGGAGTATAATTGCTTTAAAATATTGTGTTAGTTTCTGCGGTACAGCAAAACGAATCAGCTATATGGATATATATATCCTCTCTTTTTGGATTTACTCCCCATTAAGGTCAACACAGAGCATTGAGTAGAATTCCCGGTGTTTTACAGGGAATTCCTCAATGGCTCAGCAGTAAAGAATCCACCTGCAATGCAGGAGACGCGGGTTCCATCGCTGGGTCAGGAAGATGCCCTGGAGGAGGAATGGCAACCCACCCCAGTGTTCTTACCTGGCAAATTTCATGGGCAATGGAGCCTGGTGCGCTAGAGTCCATGGGATCACAAAGAGTACGGCATGACTGACAGAGTGAGCGCATGCCCATGCTCCTAGTATCACTGGTGTGTCAGCCCCAATCTCCCGAGCCAGCTAACTCCCCTTTCCCCACTCCCTAGCCACAGGTTTGTTCTCTACATCTGTGTCTCTATTTCTGCTTTGTAAACAAGATCATCTACACCCATTTTTTCAGATACCACACATATGTGCTAGTATACGGTGTTTGTTTTTTCTCTTTCTGACTAACTTAATTCTGTACGACCGTCTCTAGGTCCATCTATGTCTCTACAAATGACCCCATTTTGTTCCTTTTTATGGATGAGTAATAACCATACTCAAAGGATGTGAATTTGAGCAAACTCTGGGAGATAGTGAAGGACAGGGAAGCCTGGCATGCTGCAGTCGATGAGGTTGCAAAGAATTGGACACAACTTAACAACTAAACAACAGCAACAACATTCCACTGTGTATGTGTACAACATTCCATTATATATGTGTACATGCATAGGTATCTATGCATTTCTCTGTTGATGGACATCTAGGTTGCTTCCATGTCCTACCTAGCAATGCATGTTTATTGCACAGCTCCATAAATATTAACTTTTACTCTAACAACAACAACAAAATGCATGAAGGTGGTCAGTAAGAATGTTAGGAAAAAGTCCAGGAAGACCTCAGTGAGATGCCATCTGCCAGAGTGGCTAAGATGGGAAAGTCTGAGCATACTAAATGCTGATGAGAAGAGGGCAACTGGGATTCTCATCCACAGTGGCTGGTGGGAGAGAAAAATGGGGCAGCCTCTGCTGAAAGCAGTGTGGTGGGTTCTCAAAAAGTTCTTAAAATCATACACCTATCAGGGGATCTAGCCATTCCACACCTAGGTATTTACCCAACCGAAACAAAAGCATACAAAGATTTGTACACGGATGTTCACAGCAGTC